TATTTTTACAACCAGGTAACTTGTAAAAAAGCAGCTGTTTTACAAAAATATATTTTTGTAAAAAAGCAGTATTTTTACAACCGCTTAATTTGTAAAAAAGCAGCTTTTTTACATAAAAATGACCCTTTTTTACAACGACCGTTTTTTTATGCAACATCTATATATATATACACAGATATTATAGATATATATATCTGTCTGGATTTGATAAAAGGTATCTCCAGAAATTTTTAGCAACAGTCTCATTTGAGGCTTGTTAGGTACTTGACCATTCTTCTTTTTTCTTTTTAATGATCTTTTCATTACAAAAATCCTCTTAAAAGCTACAGTAGATCAAAAAACATGTGTTTAATATGCTGTTTACATCCCCCCCCCCCCCCAGCTCTCCCTCAGCTATCATTTCCCATAATTCTCTACACTATGACATTTGAAATCAGCGCGCGCGGTAGAAGTTGTTTTCCGTAGTCGGTTGATTTTCTGCCTGCCGGGGTTATGCCTTGGTTACACCTAGACCGTCATCTCTGTACAAGCCAAAGTTACATGCGATACCGAACCTTTCTTTGATGTTGTGGAGGAGGTAAGTACCGACGAGTTCGCATGATTCGGCATGATCCTTCCTAAAGATCCTCGACGCTGCATAAAATCTTCAACACGAACACAGTCAAGATCAGTTACAGCTGCATGCCGAATCTAAAGCAAAAAATTGATGGCCACAACAAATCCACCCTACGGAAAACAAACGCCGTACCACCTAAAACTTGCAACTGCCGTCAACCAGCTCATTACCCTCTGGCCCGGGTTGCTCGAAGCATGGTTAGTGCTTACTAGCGTTAAATACCATGGAAACCTATACATTTTGATACCTCTTAACCAACGGTTAGCGCTAACCAGGCTTCGAGCAACCGGCCCCTGGACGGTAATTGCTTAAAATCAGCCGTGATCTTCCAAGCCATAGTAGCAACGGAGGACAACAGGCCAGCCGAGACCTATGTAGGCCTTACTGAGAACTCTTTTAAGACCAGATACAGATACTCGGACCATAAGTCTTCTTTCAGAGACCCAAACAAGAGACTCTGTACGGAACTCAGTAAACACATCTGGCACTTGAAAGACGCTAAGATCGGATTTAGCTTAACGTGGAAGATCTTAAAGCAAGCCGCGTCGTTTAATCCCGCTTCAAATCGCTGTAATTTGTGCCTGTGGGAAAAGTATTTCATTATTTGCAGAGCCGATCTGACGAGCTTGAACAAACGAAATGAACTTGTAACTTCCTGTAGGCACGCGCGTAAATTCCTTCTTAGCAGCTTTACGTCTTCCGTTGGCACGCAATAGTTTTTATTCAAATTCCGCGCGCGCGTTTGTAGTCCTAGCGTATGTTTGTAACGAACTTTTTGTTGGCAATTTTATCCGAGGAGTGCCGTACATGCCGTGCGGTACGAAACTAAATAGTAATAAAAATGCCACGTTGACACCAGACAACCTTTTTTACTGTTTTTATATCTCATAGCAACCATAACGTCGCTTTTACTATAGCAACTGGTTGTAAATACCATAGCAACCCCAAGTTAGCTTTTATTGCCAGTTCTTGTAATTTAACGGTCATTCGTGAATATTGCCTGGTGAGTGTGGCCATTCTTTGACCACACGAAACAGCGTTGTCGCAATAAAACGATGAATTGAAATCTTACTACTATTGATCATTATAGTCACTGCTCCTCTCAGAGTTTAGCGCTGTCCAAAATTTATTCTATTCATGTTTAAGAAGTATATATATATATATATATATATACATATATATATATATATATATATATATATATAT